ATTTCAGGACTAAATATCAAATAAATGTTTTTATTTTACTTTAAATTTTGATTAGTATTTTCACTGGGTATATAATTTTAGGTTGACAATTTTTTCCCTAGTTTTTAAAGAGATTATTCCATTGTCTTCTGACTTTCAATATTTCTAATAAGAGGTAAACTGTCATTCTTATCTTTATTTCTCATCTAATAGATCCAGAGTAAAAACCTTTGGGTTTTTTATCTCTTGGGTTTTAAATCATTGATAAAGTCAAGATTATCAGTGAGGAGCAGAAACTATCTTAGCTAGAGTAAACTAAAAGGAGGGCAATTTGTTATAAGGATTGGGTATTTCATGAAACCCAAGGGTAGGACAGCTGGGTCTAGACAAACAGGAATTGGAAGGCCATTAGAAACAGACACCCTCAGCCTGCTAATGTTTCATTGTGTTTCGTTCCTCTTACTCTTTGCCAGACCAGTGTTCTCTCCATCTCCAGTCCATAATGTGAATGTAACACCCCCCACCACCAGTTACAGTTCCAGGGTTCTGCAAGATTAACTAGCAGTCTTTCAATTCTAAAGTTAAATTACAGGAAAATTTGGCATCTGACTGGCTCAGCACAGTGCAGGTGCCCATCCCTGGTCCATCCAACAGTGGTCAGAGGAGATGGGAAACATTATAGTATATACAGGACTTTGGGGGCCCTGTCTCCATAAAAGAGGAGGGAGGGTGGTAGTGAGAGGGAAGTTCCCTGAGGATGAGGAATTGCTATGTTCTGGGCAATCACCTCTAAAGATGTCCTAGTCAATCTTATTTTCTCTAGGGAAGAGGCTCTTTCTGTACAGGATGATGGGAAGTCATCGAGTAGATGCAATGGCTGGATTTTTTTTCTAATGCATATTCAGTCTACATATTCTAAGCATAGACCAAAGCTTTAGTTTCATGGCCCTCAGGGGTTTCTGTTCTACACATCATTTCATCTATCTTTGCTGTATTTGTTATTTTGCGATGCGGAGCGCATATTTTAATGCTCTTCGGTAACCACTAAATTATATAAAGCTCATGATCATTGTTCCAGTCTTGTTTTCTACCACATGGTAAACTCGCCCAACTCTGAAACTATGCAAATTTCCCCCAGGCGCCATGCTCTCTCATGCAAGTTTTTGCTCCTACAGTTTTTTTCTTTAGTTTGCCTCACTCTTTCATCCCTGAAAGCTTATACTATCATCCCCTCTTCTAGGAAACCTTCTCCCACTCCCTTAGTAAGCTAATTTAGGTGTCCTTACCTGTGCTCCCACTACCACATGTGTCACTCACCACACCATATGGACTCATTCATTTTCTGGTTTGTTTCTTTAAGGGAAATATCACAGTTCAGCCTATATCACCAGTGTCTCAAAAAGGCCTGCCACATAGTAGGCCCTCATGAGAAGGAACAAATGAATAAAACGAGCCTCGGTTCTGGAAAGTCTGGCTTTATATTTTCTTGTCTCTATTATCCACAGCTCTAGTGTAGAAGTTAGGAGTTCAGGCTCTGATACCAGACTTCCTGGGTCTGTATCCCGTCTCTGCCTAGTTTCCTAGTTGTGCGAACTTGAGTAAGTTGACTTAAAATCTCTGTGCCTCAGTTTCCTCATCTGTAGATGGTATAAAAACAGTACCTACCTGAGAGAGTCGTTGTGGGGATTAAATGAGTTAAGTGCATAAAGTTTGGCACCTAGAGGGTGTTCCATAAGTGTTAGTTATTATTATCGTCAAACATCTAAATCACTGCCAAAAAAACCTTTGCAGATTCAGGTGTGTGTCATGAGCAATATATTCTGCAGAAAAGGTTTGTGCTCTTAGCCGTCATTGACCCTTAAAAGAGATTCACATGGTCTTTGCCTAGTCGTGCTTCCATTGTGTGCTCTAAGAGATTAGTAACCTAAAGTTATCTGGGGATTGAGGAATGGGTTAGAAGCTTCACCAGGGGATGTTTTCTATAGCAAGAGAGTGTGTTTATCATATTTTATTTTGATTGTATTTGATTAATGAGTGAGCTTTTTGCAGACAGGTGAAGACATTTTGGTGGAGTGATTAGATATGTGATTTCCTGGAGTCTTAGCATTCTCAGCCTTGAGGAGTTGTGGGTGGCAAGGTTGGTGGCCTGAAAATATCCTTTTAAGAGCACAGGGCTGGATAGGTTTTTTTTTTTGCAGAAACTGATAAACTGCCTCTGAAATTTGTATGGAAATACAAAAGACTTAGAATAGCCAAAACAATTTTAATAAAAGAACAACGTTGGAGGACTTTCATTTCCCAGTTTCAAAACTTACTCTATAAAGCTACAGTCAACAGAGTGTGATATTGGTAGAAGGATAGACATAAAGATCAATGGAACAGAACTGAGAGTCCAGAAATAATTTTTTATATTTATGTTCCATTGATTTTTGACAAGGGTGCTAAGGCAATTCATTGGAGAAAGGATAGCCTTTCTAACAAATGGTGCTGGGACAACTGGATATCCACATGGAAAAAAGATGAACTTAGGGCTTCCCTAGTGGCACAGTGGTTAAGAATCCACCTGCCAATGCAGGGGACACAGGTTCAATCCCTGGTCCAGGAAGATCTTACATGCTGCAGAGCAGCTAAGCCCGTGTGCCACAACTACTGAAGCCCGCGTGCTCTAGGACCCGAGTGCTGCAGCTACTGAAGCCCATGTGCCTAGCGCCCGTGCTCCGCAACAAGAGAAGCCACCGCAATGAGAAGCCCACGCAATGCAATGAAGAGTAGCCCCCAGTCACCACAACTAGAAAAAGCCTGCGCACAGCAACGAAGACCCAACGCAGCCAAAAAAAAAAAAAAGGTGAACTTAGACGTTTACCTTATACCATACGTAAAAATGAACTCAAAATGGATCATAGACTTAAATGTCAGAGCTAAAACAATTAAACTTTTAGAAAACAAAAAAAATTGGAGAAAATCTTCAAGACCTCAGGTTAGGCAAAGATTTCTTACAAGACACAGCCTATGTAAGAACAAAAACTGATACATTGGACCTCACCCCATCAAAATTTAAAATGTTTGCACTTAAAAATATAGCATAAAGAAAATGAAAAGACAAACAGTAGACTGGGAGACAATATTTGCAAGTCGTATTATCTGATAAAGAATTTGTATTGAGAATATACACTCATACACCTCAATAATAAGGCAAAAAACTCATTTTAAAAATGGGCAAAATATTTGAATAGAAATTTTACCAAAAAAGATACACCAGTGACAAATAAGCACATGACAACATGGCCAATGCCATTAGTCATCAGAGAAATGCAAATTAAAACCACAATGAGATACCATTTTATACCCACTTGAATGGTTATACAAAAAAAAAGAAACAGACAACAAATATTGGTGAAGGTGTCAGAAATGGGAGTCCTCACATATGCCACTGGGAATGTAAAATAGTGCTGCCACTTTGGAAAATAATTTGGCTGTTTCTTAAAAGTTTAAACATATACTTGCCATACAATCCACCAATTCCACTCCTAGGTATTTCCCCAAGAGAAATGAAAAGATTTTTCCACAGAAAGATTTGCACACAAATGTTCTTAACAATTGTATTCATAATAGCCAGAGATTGGAAGCAACCTAAATGTCCATCAATGGATAGACACAATGTGGTATGTCCATACAATAAAATATACCACAGAAAGCAGAAAAGGAGGCACAAACTACTGACACAAGTTGTGACATGGACAAACCTGAAAATCATCATATTGAATGGAAGAAGCTAGACACAAGAGACAATATATTGTATGGTATATAGTGTGTTGATGCCATTTATATGAAATGTCTAGTAAAGGCAAATCTATAGAGAGAGAAAGATTGATGGTTGCCTGGGGCAGTGTGGGGTATGGGAGATGGGGACTAACAGTGAATATGAGGGATATTTTGGGGATGATAGAAATGTTCTACCTGCTTTGTGCTTTATGGTGATGCTTCCACAACATGGTAAATTTACTAAAAATCATTGATTGTCCACTTGAAATGGGTGAATTGTATGATATGCAAAATATACCTCAGTAAAGTCAGAGGAGGTAGTATGGGGCGGGGAGTGGAAGAAAGGAGGAGGAGAGAGAGAGAGACAGAGACAAAGACAGAGACAGAGAATGAGAATAGGACTGCATGGAGCCAGGCCGTTTGGATCTGAAATAGCAAGCCTAACCTCTCTTTGCCTCAGTTTCCTGTCAGTGAAGTTGGGGAAAATAACAATTAACTATCCACAATGTGTAAACAATGCTTAACACAAAGTTTGGACCATAAAGAGAGCTCAACAAATATTAGCCGTAATAATAATTATTATTATTATTGGTGGTAGTATTTAACCTACTGAGGATCCAGCTCTGATTTATATCAACTAAATTCAAATCCTGGAGAAGGATTTGGACTATGACTGCAGAGGGCAGTGACTCATCTTGTGGAAATGACTCTAGGGGAATCTGAGAGTCTAAAGCACAGGATTTGTCAGTCACCTGCAGGCTGGGGGTTGGCGCACTGGAGCCTCACAGATGAAGGCTGTTTCTTCATGGCAGCATCATTTATGGAGGGGTCATCCTGCCGCCCATCAATGTGGGAGCAACATGTGCTATTTCTACTCCAGTCCAACAATGATTTATGTTATACCACTACATGCCAGATCCTATTGGCTTGGAGGACAGGTGATTTGGGGGCACAGAGGAGGGATACCTAACTTTGTGTATGAGGGTTTCTAGAGGAAGAGATATCCCTGTGAGACTTAAGAATCCCTTGACATCGGGCTTCCCTGGTGGCGCAGTGATTGGGAGTCCGCCTGCCCATGCAGGGGACGCGGGTTCGTGCCCCGGTCTGGGAAGATCCCACATGCCGCGGAGCGGCTGGGCCCGTGAGCCATGGCCGCTGAGCCTGCGCGGCCGGAGCCTGTGCTCCGCAACGGGAGAGGCCACAGCAGTGAGAGTCCCGCGTACCGAAAAAAAAAAAAAAAAAAAGAATCCCTCGACATTTCCCAGATGAAGGGTGAGGAGAGTTATTCAAACAGAGGCTACAGCCTGAGTAAACCTCAGAGGTGATAGGGAGCTTGCTGAATTCAGTGAAAAGCTGACATAAAGAGCAGAGTGACAAGAAACAAGGCTGGAGCCCCACAGAGGGCCTTGTGTGCCATGATAAAGAATTTAGACTTATCCTGAGGATGAAGAGCAGTAAGCAGGTTCTAGGACCTGCTCAGTCATCTTCAGTTCAGTGGTCCCAGTAGCACTTACACACCACACCTTGAGTGATCCTGCTGTTGATCAGGACCAGATAAATGCCCTCCTAGAGGTTTGTGGCCTGGGTTTTGCATTTAGCCTCCTCAAGTGCAAGTGTTCCTCCAAGGACCACATCCATACTGGTGTCTCATAGAAAAAGTGTTTCACGCCTCCTTCGAGAGGCATAAGAGGCCATAATGTGGTCGCTGAGAGCCTGTCTTAGGGGCCAGACCTCAGAAAAGCAGAGGACTTGTGAATGTTTCACACACTTCGCCCTGGGTGCCTGCTCTGGCTGAGAGCGCATTAAAAGCCCCAGCGACCGAGGGGCAGGTATTGTCCTGGTTACTATGGCATCACCTTGGAAAGGATCACTCAGGGAAAGCCACAGCTGAGCCGAGTGAGCCAGGAGGGGAATGTGGTCTGAAGCAGCAGGAGGGGCTGGAGATAGGCTGCAGATTCTGTCGCTGGTCTCGGGACACCTCGTGGGCTGGAGCCCACTTTAGCTTCTCCAGCTGCAGCCCAGGGCAGGAGCCAGGCTGCGCTCAGCCTGAGAGTGGCTGCCTGAGACAGCACCACAGGCTGCTGCTGAGCTGGGAGCTGAGAGGGGCCGAATTCCCAGTCACACACCACTTGGCCTCTCCTTTTTTTGGCAGGGGGTGTTGTCTCATCTTGAAAGATCTGGGCTGGGTTTCATCTTCTTTTTGATTTTTAGTAGTCACCTGTATGAGAACTGACTTCCAGGTGTTCATCGAGGAAAGCAGAGTGGTCCCCACGCTGGAAATGAGAAAGGATGACAATTTCCGAGACTGACTGTTGACGGCTTGGAGATACCCCCTTTTCAAAATGCCTTTTAAAGCATTTGATACCTTCAAAGAAAAATTTCTGAAACCTGGAAAGGAAGGAGTGAAGAATGCTGTGGGGGATTCGTTGGGGATTTTACAAAGGTAAAGTTTGAATGCAAACTTTAGGTTTCTTTCTGAGTAGCTTCACATTGCTGGTGTTTGAAAGAGTATGCCTCATGTTTTTAAAGCCACATTTAAAAAAGGAGTGAGTGGGTCAGATTAAAGGGCTTCTGGAGCCCCTTCTTGCTCCAACAGACTATGTGCCTAGAGGAAAAGATGCATCAAAACGATAAGGTTGAATTAGGAAAACATCAAGACAAACATTCTGCTTATACAGTAGGATTAGCACTTATTGGAGATGGTAATACTGCATTATTGTGTGTTTGGCATTGAATTAGAAAAGATTTAGGGAGATAATGTTTCATGTTAATTCAATACTAATAACAAAATCAGGAACCACTTTATATGGTTATGCTCTGAGCTGAAATAATTTTTAAGAAGTTTTCACTTCATTTTTCACTATAAATGAAAATTAGGTATTTGCAAATTGTGTAGCTTGTAATATAAACTATATAAAGTGGTTCTTGATTGGGTAGTTTTCAAAGAGAAAGATAATTACACAATGGTGTGAAGAAAGTAACTTAAAAAATTAGTATTTAAAGCAGAAAATCTTACATGATTAAGTGGGAAAGTGTTAAGTACTATCACTGAATTGAATGTTTTTGTCCAAACCAAAAAATAAATCTTTTTTTAAAAAGTAAAATATATTACCATTGGAAGAGAGTTTGCCATAAATGAATGAAATGATGTGATATTTTAATTTGTGATTTTTAAAAGTAGACATAGTAAATGCCTTCCTAGGTCTTACAGATGAATTAATAAGCAGTCCTTATGTGCAAGGTAAAATGACTCCTTTAATCTCTCTGACATAAATAAATGTGAAAATATCCTTGATAAGTTTTTTATGATTATTTCTAACCCTGGTGAGTGAAAAATGCCACCTAGCATCTCCTTTTAACTTTTCTATCTATGTTTTCTCTTAAATTTAAAAACTAGCATTTGAAGGACTATTTCTAGGCACACTGAGATTCATTCCACTTCTTGTATTTTATAACACAGGGGCTCCTGTCAGTGTTAAATTTTCCATTGTATCACTCTTGATGAGCTTAGCAGGAGAACTGGGTTGGGCACCTTATTATTTTGGTAATTAAAAACAAAAAACTTTCCATCAGAACTACACTGAATTATCATGTATAGATGAAAACCTACCTCAGTGACAGCAGGATAAACCAGCCAAACATAGGAAATGATTACAATAACCTATTCTTTTAAGAGTGTTTTATCCTTCCATTGAACACTCCCAGGTAACATCGTATGGTGGTGTTCATTTGATTAAAAATGCAAAAGGAAGGCACAGTGGCTTAATTGGCATATTCAAGTGATGACAAAGGAATCTGACAAAGTCAGGAATAAAAACCACGACTTTGGACTAGTCACCATTACAATCACCAAACTCTGTGCCTTAGTTTATAAAATACTCAACCAAAAGTACTTAGGAGTATTCTTTTCCAACATTGTCTTTTAAAATTTAATCACTTTTTTCAGTAAGGGACTTAACCTAAATGGTGGTTTTACTGTGTTTGATTGGATGATCCAAACTTGAAGATCCTTTTGTTTACCAGATTGGTTTACTTAGGGATATAACAAAATTAGTAATTTCCAAGTTGTGTGAGCTCAACCCCAAATTAAGTTATGTGTCTAGGACTCTGAAGAGTTTCCTCAGAACTGCATCATGGAACAATAAAAAAGCAGCTAGCCCAGTTCTGGAGACAGAGAATACACTAAATGAATGCTAGATACTATCATTGTTGTCATAATTGTAGAATGAATGTTTTTAGAATAAATAAAGCCAAACTCACACCTCTTCTTTCACTGATCCCTAGAGAGACACGATTGGCAAAGGAAGGGGAAAAAAAGGCATTAATTGACCGTCGATCTAAGTTGATGGATCCTCAGCTCTAGTGGTCTTTGAGCAATGCTCCAGAATTAGGGCTCCTCCAACAAAAACAGCTCTGCCATGCACTTGGTGTTAACCTCAAGTCTATAAGATAATTATATATAAAGTGCCTTGCCCAGAGCCTGGCATGTAATGGACATTCCCTCCCCTCATTGATTTTTACATAAAACCAGTTGATGGAATCCAATGTGGAAAAAAAAAAAAAAAGACCTTAAAGAACTGTTTTCTGTTTTGTAAGGGGCAGGAATATTGGGAAGTTAGAAATCCCGACTTTCTAACTTAGCAATCAGTATAAATCATAAATGTCTAATAATGTTTAAGGCTGAGATCATCATCTAGATGGCATTTTTAGATGTTTTTTGATCACGGAGTGTTCCTCTTGGTCAGGGGAGTGGCAGATGCACAGGAAAGCATCTGAAGCTTGCACATGGGGCTGATTAGAGCCAGGCATTATTAATCTTTCTAAAGACAGTCATTGATAAGAAGCAGCTGAACAATTCATCAGCTAAAGGTACAATAATAGTTTTCAAATGTAGGAAGAAAGATGATGCATTCACTTATCGTCCAGTATTGGAACAGATAGACAGCATTACATTTGGAAATTCATGTCCAAACACTGATATACAGATTTTTTTCAACTTAGATGATAATATGAGTACCCTCTAATTGCTTATGTGTAATAAATGATAATAACAAACACTTAGTATGTTCCAGGTACCGTAAAATTATTTAATTCTATTAACAATCCTGTGAGGTAGGGCCGATTATAGTCACGGTTTTACAGATGAGAAAACTGAGGCACAGAGAGGTTAAGTAAATTGCCCACAGCTTATAAGTGGCAGAGCTGGGTTTCAGACCAGACATTTCTGCCCACCATTCTTAATCATTACCCTATGCTGCACTCCAATCAACTGTCCGCTCTTCCCACTTGCTGTCTTGAAATTTAACCACTCATTTAGGCTTAGGGACTTACTTGGGCTGCAAAGTAGCCAGCAACCTCTGGATCTTCAGGCAAGCATGCGCTTTTATCCTAATTAGTTATAGTATGGAAGGCTTTCCCCAAGGGAGATTGAGCGAGAGTCTGGTCTCCTTTTAGGTGTTCATATCTCCCCTTTAAAGTGATGGTACCAATCCCTGTATTGTGTACATCTTCAGCATTCAGCGGTTGTGTATTGAATGTATGTACCAGCCGTGCACTGTCTGCTCCATAGACAAAGGCTAGTCTGTGAGACCAGGCTCTGAGATCAGGTGATCCTGGATTCCAATTGCCGTGACATCATTTACTTTCTGCCTGCACAACCTCAGGCAGCTTGCTCCCATGGTTGCAGTCAGGGTGATTCTATTAAAACAGATAGCATCTCTCCCCTGCTCACCACTAAGGCCTGCCCCTCACCCAGTTTCCCACCTCACTCAGAGTGAAAGCCAGTGTCCTTTCAATAGCCTTCAAGGTCCTACCTGATCTGTAGGACTTTGAGAAATCTGACTTCATCTCTGACCTTCACTGCCTGCCTCACCCCACTCCAGCCACACTCTGCACTCTTACTGGAGCTCCCTGGACCCGTTCCTGTGCCAGCTTTTGTTTTTTCCTTCGAATTAATTTTTATGGGAGTATAGTTGCTTTACAATGTTGTGTTAGTTTATACTATACAGTGAAGTGAATCAGCTATACGTATATATATATCCCCTCTTTTTTAGATTTCCTTCCCATTTAGGTCACCACATAGCATAGAGTAGAATTCCCTGTGCTTTACAGTAGGTTCTCATTAGTTATCTATTTTATACATAGCATCAATAATGTGTATATGTCAATCCCAATTCGTGCCACCACCACCCCTTCCCCCTTGGTATCCATACATTTGTTCTCTACGTCTGTGTCTCTATTTCTGCTTTGCAAATAAGATCATCTATACCATTTTTCTAGATTCTACATATGTGTGTTAATATACGATATTTGTTTTTCTCCTTATGACTTACTTCACTCGGTATGACAGTCTCTAGGTCCATCCACGTCTCTACAAATGACCCACTTTCGTTCCTTTTCATGGCTGAGTAATATTCCATTGTATATATGTATCACATCTTCTTTATCCATTCCTCTGTTGATGGACATTTAGGTTGTTTCCATGACCTGGCTATTGTAAATAGTGCTTCAGTGAACATTGGGATGTGTGTGTCTGGATGTGATTTATTGAGGAGAGCTCTTCCTGGAAAAATTGGGAGAGAGGGAGTAAAGCAGGATAGGAAAGGAGAAAACGAAGCAAAGATGTGATCTCAGGTAACGCACAGGGGCCAGGTCACAGCGGAAAGCTCTGGGGCATAACTGGCACTGGGTTGTCCCTTTGAGCAAAGGGACCAATCTTTTATGTCTCTGCATCATTCAGTCATTGACTGTGGGTACCCCAGCAGAGATGGAGGTTTATAATGGAGGCCATGTAGTGGTGGGCAGTTCTCCTAAGAAGTGAGCAGTTGCAAACGATTAGCAGCTGTAGAAGTGTGCTGGCTTGAGAAAAGGGACCTGGGCTGTGCACTCATTGCACCATACAGATCCACTTGCTTCTCACATTCAGTTCACTCCATCCAGGTCCAGCTTCTCAAAGACCCTGTGGTCATAATTTCTGAGGAACCTTCAGGAGAAGAGTTGGTGGGATGCACTAGCTCTCTTTGCTCTGGCTGGTCCCTCCTTCCCACCCGTTCTCGAGTCCCCTCACTTCTGTTAACTTGCCTTGTGGGTTGATCCAGTCCTCAATCCCTGAGGGGTCTAATGCCCTGGTTAACATACCCTTACCAGTTATGGTTGCTGTATTTGAGTTACACTGGACAAGGCAATATCAGGAGATGTCTTAGTGCATGCCCTGAATGCCAAACATATGTCTTCTTGCTCCTGTGATGAAGCAACGGTCCTAACTCATCCTGCGGATCAGGACCAATTTCCCTTGCTACAGTGGTGACCCCTGGCCTTCCCTTTTGCTCTTGGTGTGAGGACCCCAAATGACTGGGCAGCAGTCATAGCCATATACTTAATGGGATTTTCATTGTATTCCCAAGTGGAAGAATTCTTCTTCGGGATTAGGACTTCTGGATCCAC